TCGGTTTGGGAATGCCACGTATGAAGCAGTCCAAGCGGGAGAGGCGAGGGCTTTCGGGCTCCAAACAAATATCCCTATACGTATGCAGAAAACATAGGACCAGCGTTTAGAGGGAGCTGCCTATCTAGATATACACCGTAATTTCTTATCGGAAAAGAAGGAGGGGACTGAAACGGTCATTTCTAGAGCAGTTGAGTCCGAAGTAAAAAGCGACTGATTTGCATGCTGTTCACTTAAATCGAGAATGCTCCACATTATTTGTTGTTAGTGTTCGTCGATCCAGGTTTGACTTAAGCACGCAATATGGAATATATTTCTGGGCAAATTATGGCCTATGATCGAGGATCAAACGCAAATAATGAGCTTTAGGACATCGTTGAAAAGTGCTATTGGAGCTTTGAATCCAGTCTTCGGGACACTAGTTTTCATAATCAACCCGTAACTTAGAGCATCAAAAAGCTGCAAGGAGCATCGGTGAAGCAGCATATTGGAGTAGAAGTTCAGCCCCAAGTAAGCACACGCAACAAACACCAAGAATAATTCCCATGGAAGTAGTTAATCATAGATATACTCTAAAATTTGTAACCGAGAAAGTACTCCCATATGATGGCGTGCTTTCGTAGGGCTGCTCAATGCACCCCCGCCCCTCACTGAAACCTTCCATGGGTGGATACGACTTTACTCTCTTATCTAACCTTCCCAGGGGTATATTGCTACACACTGAAATGTTCTCCATGAGACAGTTATGGAGTCGCTTCATTAAAAGTTTTTTACGAGACAACTGGGTGATTTTACGAGTCCGACGTGCAAACTATCCCTTGATGATTCAGGATTTATGGTGTCGTGTTTATTGATATACACGTACCAATTAAATTTCGCCAGTAGCGCTATTTATAAACCAGCCCCCCTTACCCCTTAAAATTAATGTACACTAGAAACAATATCTGTATGGATGGGGGACCACTGAGGAGCCCAAACTCTTTTATTTTTTCCTCAGATAATCTATGAAAAAGGTGTCTACACTTAAGGCTAGTACTCATGTTTTACGATTAATGAAGCAACTCACGATGCTCAGCCCATATGGATCCTTACTTATATCGCTTGTATGTGATGGCAACGCCAGGTAAATTATTCCTGACTTCACATTTGCCTTACTATTTACCGATGGCCTAACGTTAACCTTCTTCGCCCTCCTTTCTCAGGTAAACTTGTGCTTATTCCCACAACCTACGGAATCTCGATTCGCCCCCCAGGCCAAGTATTCTGTGCAACTCAATCTGTTGCCCATTTGGGTGGCGCTTACCTGAGCACCTTGAGGAAGACTGGGGGCCCCTCCACTGCGGGTTCGACAGGTCTATCAACAACCTGTCGCGGGCGTACGTTAACCGTTATCGAGGTTGAACACTGTCCAACACGATTGGTTGCAA